GGCACTTCTTTTTCATCCTCCACTTGAACATCCCCCTTCCTGGACCCAGGCAAGGATTGAAGATCACAACCCTTTGGCAGGTCGTAGCCCTCAATAGGCAGCCATGTCCCATCAGGCAACACAGTCCAAAAACCACCCATACCATCCGTGTAGAAAACTTGTCCTGGCAGGTACTGCTTCTCTGGAGTCATTCCTAGAGGATATGCCGTGTTTGCGTCCACCACTCCAGAGCTCCGTGCCCTTGAAGCTGACCCAGATGCAGCAGAGGTATAGCTTTTTTCCTCCACCCGATGCAACCTGTTCCCCAGCTCCTTTGTCTGCACAAGCAACTCTTTCAGCGCACGCTTCACCACCGCCATATCTTCAGTTTGCTCTTCACCACTAACATCAGGAATGAGTTCTTCGTCGGCTTGCACTCCACCAATAGTACCTCGTTCCATTTGTCCCATTAAGCCTGACGATGGTCTCTCAACAGGTGCAGGTTCCTGACCCAAAAGATCTTGCAGCGAAGGCGGTCTCCTCGTACCTTCACCACTCCTATCCCCTCCGCTCGCGGGAAGACTTGCCGGCCTTGATTGCCTAAGTCTCATTTCTTCTTGAGCCCGCTCGCTCCAGAAAGGATTTGCTGCTTGAACCGGAACCACTTCGTTTTCCACCTGAGGCGTTGGTTGTATCATTGCAACCTCCCTACCATCTGTCAGTGCTTGTACCATTTGTTGTCGATCTTCACCCCCATCACCACGATTTCCTTCGGCTTCATTGGCCGTTGGCGACAGTCCAGGCTCAGAGCGACGCCGCATCATGTCCATGGCGTTAAACAAACGAAAAATCTTTACCAATTCCGCAGGAAGCCTAACTTGGGCTCATAACCTACGGGGGGCAACCGAAGGAGGACAGGGAACAAGACAGTCAACCCCAACAGAAGCCCTTATTACCCCTGGAACAACCAACAACCGAACAGCAAGCCCCCAAACCAAGGGCACACTTTTTACGAAACCTTTGACCGCTTTGGTCATGGCTTGAGCCAAAGATTACCGGGTTCATTGACCCTTCAACTTCCAATACCAACTCCTTTCTACAATACCAATTGCAGCTCCGCATAGGGTTTAGGGTTTAGGGTTTAGGGTTTAGGGTTTAGGGTTTAGGGTTTAGGGTTTAGGGTTTAGGGTTTAGGGTTTAGGGGTTTGGGGTTAGGGTTTAGGGTTTAGGGTTTAGGGTTTAGGGTTTGTAGAAGGGAAGCTCGCTGGTGCTAAAAGCACCCGGGCCGCTCGCTTGCGTTAGCATGTAGTCCCACCCCAACCACCCAAACTATTCTCATTTTTTGCTTTTTGCAGAGAAAGAGCAGGGTGGGGCCTCCCGAGCTTCATGGAGCCTGTCAGTGGCTCGTAGGCTTCTTGGAGCTTTCACGGAGTAAAAGGGAAGGTGCCCAAAACCGTCAATTGCAATACTAAAAAACCCACATTTTCATTACGGGTCTGGGCAAAGCCTGGATCTCGGGGCTTGAAGGGGCAGCAAAAACGGTAGGGGGTAGCAGGGGCCTCGGCCGGCCCCTGCTTTTCGATGCTAATCCATGGGGTCCAGAACATTGCCGGCGGGTCCCAACCATCCCAGGGGGTTGGGGGGTCTGGGGCCCAGCTCCCTGATGTGGTTAAGGGGGAGGGCCCAGGCGATTTTCAGGGCACCCAGCAAAGTCCCAGAAAAGGTTCAGGGGGGGGTCCCAGGGGGGTCCCAGGGGGGTCCCAGGGGGCCTACCCCAAACACCAAAACACGCCAATGTTCGAAACTAGGGTCTGAGGCGTAGCTAGTCACTGCCGTCTCGTCTATTGGGAGGCTTTACCCTCCCTCACCGTTCTGTGGAGACGCTCGGTCGGGGACCTCGGTCGAAGCCTCGAGCGCCCATGCATATGGACAGCGTCGCTCTCGGCAGTTTAGGGTTTAGGGTTTGGAGCTGTTGAGGCTTTCTGGATCCCGTTTGGGCACACACCCGACATTTTTGTTCCCATGTTTTGGCCCTAGGTTGGGGGCTAGTGAAGGCCAAAAATGCTCAAAAGTCACACAAGTTTGGCCGAAAACCATTACAATTTGCCATGTGAAGGGTTTCCAAGGCAGTGAAACTAGCGAAAACTTATGTTTTGACCCTAATTGAGGGTGACCCAAAATGGTCAACAACCATAAACTTTGGCCATTTGGGAGGTTTTCAGGGCAGCCAACAGTGGGAGGCCAACTTAAGACAAGGGAGTCAAGACAAGCAAGACGAGGTTGAAAACAAAATTGTGTGTCCAACCCAATGTGTAAACAAATCTGTTTCCAAGCAGGGCTCCGATGGAGAGGGGACGTCAGCTCGAATTTGGGAACGCAGCAAACAAACTCAAATCGAGTTTTAAAAATCGGTTGTGGGTTCGGTCCTGGGGGGCTTTGTTGCCTTGGAGTTTACTTGGGGAAAGCGGCGGGGCCAGGACTTTTTATGACTTTCGTGGGTTTGCGTTTACATGGGGAAAAGACACGGGGGCCATGACCACGCCATGACTTTGTCGGATGCCTGCAGTGGGAGGCGCCTGCAGTGCAGGCGCGAGACCCATCCATGCCCTTGGGTTTGAGTCCGCGAATTCCCCCTCAAGCAGGGTCAAGTCGACTGTGGGAATCTGGGATTTCAAGGCGAATTTGGATTGATCATGATTAGCTACATACAAATTTCTTTTTCTAGAAGAAAATTTAGTAGACAAGTCGATTCAATTTCGTTTATAGCGATCACGATGTTGTATAAAATCTGGAATCAAAAAACGAAGATCAATTCGAGACATAGAATTATTCAATTTGTTTTACGAAGAATACGATTCTTGATAGATATCTTTTCCCAAAAGGAAATCCTTATCGGAAGCTCAATTTTTCTTCTGAAGATCATGATTCTCTGTATCCATGACGCGATCCGACGGAAGATCAATTTGAGAGACGGGCGAATTCAATGTTATTATGATATTCATGATTCTGAGCTCTTGACATATTTCTACCGAATAAATTAGAAGATCTATATAAAAGAGGGAGAGAAACAGGAGCGAAGTCGAATCAAATCTATTTGCGAAGATCAGTGTTCTCTATATACCTACTGCCAAATCGAGTGAAGATCAGTTCGAGAAATAGAATATATTTCAATTTTGCTCAGGAAGATCACGATTGTATGTATATATATATATATATATATATATATGTGCATGTGTACGCATATACTAAATGCAAAAAGGAATATCAAGCACAGGACATATCGATTCAGTTTTGCCTACGAAGATCAGGATCTTTTACCTCTTCAGATTCAAATTGAATGAAGACCGCTCCGAGATATAAGCATTTTCTTGCGAAGATCATGGTCCTTGATGAAGATTCAGCCAAATAAATATTCATCTTTAAAAAGAAAGAGATCAATTCAACTTTTTTCTGTGATACAGCCTTCTTGTGTGCTCGATCTCGCTTGTCCTCGTCCTCTTCTCCTTGAATGGCG